AATGAAGACCTAGGTGTCTACATTTAATCAGATGAACCCCATCCACATGAGCTTCCTGAAAAATCATGGGGTTTAGCCACAAGTTTTAAATTCACATGAAAAGGAATTTGTATACGGAGCACTTCCTGGGTCTGTGGTTTATGCAAAAAATACATCTGATAAAGATGTGAAGAAAACTTTGTAAAGGAAGCTCAGAGAGAAGAGGTGAGAACCATCTCATTGCCTTGGCAGAAAGGAGGATAATGAAAAGTGTAACAGCTCCTTTACTCGTTTCCATCGCTGTCTGGCCTTATTCAGGGGCACAAGGATGCATAGAACACCTGCCCCTCAACAGTATTTGTTGGGGACTTTATGGTGCAAACACACTTGTGGCAGGATCCACATCAGCACATTCTCCAAGAGAAACTAAAGAAACAGCAAAACTGGTTTGTATAAGTCCCTCATAATTGTAATGCATGAGTATCTCTGAACATTTAACAGATTTATCTTAACAACATTTCCATGAGAAAGGAAAGCTCCATGTTTTCCTGTCTCTTTCATTAGTCTTCTACTGCTGTAAAATTGTCAGAGATATTTGTACAAGCTCTGAAAACAGGAACACTCTGAGTGTTCAGGAAACTGCCTGAACACTCGAACTGTTCAAGAGACGACCTCAGAACACATTGATGCTTTAGAGAAAAATAAACTAGAAAAACCCCAAACAAAACACTACATTACATAGTACTCTTCATGTTAATGAATACCTCATACTAGATAGAAAAAGTATCATTGAATTTTGCATTCACTACAGCATACTTTTAATTTTAAACTTTGGAAAAAACCTCTTTGTTTAGAACTCAACATGAAGAGCTAGAAAGATTCATAATGAATCAGACGAGGTAAAAAAAAACCCAAACATACTAGTTTAAGTAACTGGGTTATGGACTGATGGATTCATGAATTACAACAGAAGAGGGATCAATCTACATTTGCAGTCTTTCTCGATTTTAGCAAGCATTAAAAATTAAAGTTGTGATCATATTGATTGGAACAGCAGCTTTTAAATGATTCAGTCAATTTCAGTATTATAATTGGGAGTAAAGTTAAATAAATACTTCATTATATTAATCTAAACCTAGAGCCTGAGGTACTAGAAGATACAAACTAGCTAGTAAAATTGAGGGAGCAATGAATGATTTTTCATCTGGTATTTCTGTTTGTACACTGATTTGTCCTGCTTCTCTCACTCAATACAGACTGACAGACAACTCCCTTGTCAAGTAGCTGGTAGGTGCAATCCATTTTTACATGGTTTTTGGCCAAATTTGGAAGCAGCACCAAACACGGGCTACAGGGAGACTGAATTACAGGCACGATTTTACTTCAGACCTGAGAAGTGCAAACTTAGTGGGACAACACAGGAACATCACACACTGGCAGAACAAAAAGATTCATCTTTGCTGTTGCTTGTAGGAATTTACTGAGGCAAAATAGCTACTGAAAAGTTTCTTGGTTTTTCCCTGAATGAACAAAAACCTGCTGAAAAGCATGAGGAAATAACCAGAAATGACCAGAACTCAAATTTATTAGTTAAAAACAAAATAAATCTTTCAATTAATTTACTGCAATATCCATGAGTACAAGATCTCCTTTAATAATAATCAACTACTAATAAGCATTTAATATAAAAAGAAAACCCCACCTACTATAAAAATGATTGAGAAAATAAAATATAAATGAGATTCAAAGAGAATTAAAAACATAACTAGCACTATGTCTTCTCCCTTTTACTGGAAGATACAGACATTGTAAGATAAGGGAAAGGTATTTTAGTCTGGCTCCCTATAAATACAGCCACAAGGTCAGACATAAAAGGGGTCAAGTTAAAGACAGCGCAATCTGAATTAATTAAGCCCCTTCTTTTTTCTCAAATTCTGATGTCCCATGATTTAGAGACTTCAGTAAGGAGGAGTATTGGTATATTTTTTGTGTTCTCTACAAAATCATTCTTTTCTTTAGATATCATTATGTTCTTCAGCTAGATATAGAAGCCTGTCATTATCTTGTAATAAGAGACAAGCCTTTTGGAAAAGGAAACACTATTTTAAAGGAATGAAATATAACTTCAGAATTAATACACATGTAGCCACACAGGTGTCTCTAGTCAGCATGATTTTGAATACTTATTAACAAAATCAAATTATAAGTTTTTGTTATCACATACAGTATGTTTTGAGTTTTGTGACTGAAGATTTTTAACATTTTATCCAAGTATGAACAGAATATAATTTCAGCTCCAACCTACAATGATTATTTATTGTCCTAGCCACTTGTATCACTGAATGCAGCATTTGCATCTCAAATCCAGAGTCTAACAGAATGATGCAATGCAAATATTTCTGTTTTACAAGCCAAACAACAAAATTCGGTTACACAAAAAGCTAAATAAAAATTGCAGAGGAGTCTTTCTGGGTTTTAGGTTACATTACTTACTAAAGATGCAGGCAGCCATACCATAAATTGATCATGATCCATTTTAAAATTTGTTAGGGCTTTTGGTTTGAGAATTTTTGCCTTTACCACTCTTACAGGTAAGTTGTTCCAGAAACTCACCATTTTGGTAGTTAGACATCTTCCAGTCTCCAACATCAATTTATTCATTGTCAGATTACACTGCTCCATGCTCTCTCCTCTCCCATAACCCACGTGAAACCAATAAGATTAGCCAAATGAGCAAAGCAAAATGGAAATTCATGCGTTACAATATTTTGTAAAGATCCTGTTCTTAAACCCCATGATTAGATATTTAAATATTTCCCAGACACTGAACACCTATTCAAATTACTTTAAACAGACTATTGGTTGGATTTGTGCCAAAACACAAGAATAGACATAATATTTAATGTTGTGAGGGTGATAACTTTGTAAACACAATCTTGCAAAAATTAAAAGCAAAAAAAAAAAAAAAGGCAGTTTGATCAATTTAATTCCAACAATACTATGCCTGTTAACAAAAGATAATCATAGCAAGCACTTTGATACACAGTTGTTATTATCACATAGGATGAACTTTATAGAATCATAGCTGGAAGGGACCATTAAATCATTTGCATAACACTGTATGCAGATAAACCACCTGCATATCCAAGATCATAAATTCATCTAATTACTGCTGCATTAAGCCGCATTAATTGCATGTGGCTAAAACACATCTCAAAGAGAGATACACATCCTTGATCAGAAATGTCAGGAAATGGGGAATCCAGCACTGGCCTTACGTGTTTGCTCCAGTAGTTAAACTGAAAAAGTACACTAATTTTATTTTGAAGTGTCTGGCCTCAATTCACAGTGTAAAAATAAAAGGGCATTATTTCCATAGTTCAACTTCTATTTCCAGGTGATTCCTGGTTTTGATTCTTCCTGAAGTAAAACACCCCAACTAGAGTACATTTTCTGCCTGCGTATTTCAATTTCCCAAACTCACTGCTCTACCGTTTACATATTTAAGGTCACTTACACACTTTAAACCATAGGTTTGCACTGGACGTTCATGTAAAGAAACCCTTTAATCTAGTGCAAACTGCAGTTTTACTCTCAAGACTGGTAACCATTCAAGATCTTTATGTTGTGACATGTATTCACTCTTCCTAGAGGTACTGTATTCGGTTGCACTAAAATGTATTTTGTTTGAACCAATTTAGCTAACAGATCACTGTATTGGACAGTCTTACATAACAGTTATCTATCATTTCACCAGTCTTTATTCCATCTGCTCCCCAAAATCAATTAATCATTTGCAAAAAGTGCAATCATCACCTGCTTTTTTGGACCAGATTCTGCCACCAGATTCTTAGTCAGGTTAGACTGTCTTTAAGAACATACATTGCTGTTCACAGTAACATGTTATATTGTGCAAATAAGTCTGACAGAGTCTGGCCCTCAGCAGGGAAAAAATAACTTGCTTTTATTTTTTCAGAGTTGTTCCATTTCTAGCAAACTCACCTGTATCTCTCAAATAAACACATACAGAATTTAGGGGGAAAAAAAAAAATTACATCTGTTACCTTTGATTCACTGAAGCCCAGTATAATAAGCTGATGCAAAACCATGCTATTAACACTGCACAAATATTAACAATGTGAGTATTGATGTAGTATGGCTATATTTTCTTGGAAGCTACAATTTATCAATTTCTGCCACTTACTCAAAAATTACATAAATGTTTTCACAACTGACAATAAATATTTAAATCAAGGAAAATTATTCTCCCCCTTCAAAGATACTTTTATCTTTTTATTCCAGACAAAAAAAAAATAACCCTTCTAGTGAGGAACAAAAATACAACCCCCCCTCAAAATCTTATCTTTTGAAATGCAGCATGCTAGATTTTTGGATAATGTATATTACCGTCCAATGAAAAATGAAGGTTAATATGTACACAGATTTTTGGATAGCTCATGAAGATCGTTACTGACCGACATACTGTCACTAAGTCAAATCTAGCAGTTTGATTAAGAAGGATATTTTGCTTCTGAACCACTTCCTATATTCTCTTCTCATACTGTAAAGGAAGCCAGAGCAGAAAAATATTCTTAATATCAGCTAAGAGCTGAGCAAACAACAACTTGCACCCAGAAATGTGTGATAGTGGAAGTCTTTTCAGTATACTTCAGACAGTAATACTAATATATTACAAAAGGAAGGTCGTTTGCTATTCTTTAATCAAATGATTTCATGATTTCCCAGGAAACAAGGAGTTACACTCATTATGCAATTTGTTTCTCATTTATGCACAGTTTTCAAGACCCACAGCTTACAGTCACAGTGAGCTGTGAATTACAGTTTGTTTTTTTTTTTTTTTATTCTACGACAACTTTTATTGTCTAGATATCATGGATGATTCAATTAAAACACATGGTCCTTTAAACAAAAAGAAAATATTAGGGCATACAGAGTTCCACATTCTAATTTGCTCAGTTCATCTGCTTAAGGAAGAAAGAGAAATTATCTGTAGCATTTACCTGTAGAAGGCTGGAGGAGCAGCTTCCCTCATCCCAAAGCTGCCCTGTTCATTCTCAAGGTAATAGGGTACCTGTTGGCTGTGGTGATGGATGAAAGGTGAGAGCTGGGGCGCCGTTTGCAAGAACACCACGGGGCTTGGTGGGACATTGTTCAGTGAGTGAAATCCTGCCAGACTGCTGGACCCAAAAGATTCAGAAGTAGGGGCATAACTGAGAGTAGTAGAGCTGTACACTGGAGCCGTAGTGCCAAAATCGTAAGTGGCTCCTTCTGGGTAGTTAAAAACTCCTGTCTTGTTGCTCTCCACATACATGTCGCTGAGTGATCTTTCCAGGGGAATCTTCAGCTGAGGTCTGCTCAGTGTCTCCAGTTCAGTGCCTTGAATCTGGTGCAGCAGGGTAACTCCAGTGGTTTTGGTGTGAAGGGTCATGGTCAGCACTAATGTCAGTGAGCAAGGAACATATCTACTTTTACTGTCAACAGCGAGATCGGCAGCTGGCAGTCCACCTAAAAAAAATACCAGAACCTATTCTGAGTCTCAGCAGAAATCATAATAAAGCAGCACTGCACAGGTATTCCTCTAATCTCGGCAAGGAGGAGGGTACAAACAAATGCAGAGTGAGCACTGAAAATGCACATTCTCTCTCTCTCTCCCTCCCTCCCTCTCCCTCTCTCTAACTTTTAGGAACTCCTCATCTGCGTTAATATGCATTACAAGGTGCTGGCTGTGAGCCAGGAACTCTTGCCTTGTGCCGACGTTGGTTTAAACATCACTTCAGAAACAATTACTTTTGGAGTTATACCAAATAATTGTCCCTCTAAATGTTACTTTATTCTTACTAGTTGTTTAATTTTTCACTTCAGGGTAGCCAGCGCTCCACAGCAACTAACGGGAAAGAACACTTAATCCAGCCAGGAAGAGTAGTCCAGTGGTCAGGCAGATTACTGTCTTTTATTTCCTCAGCAGGCTCCAATCTATCTGTGCTTATCTCTCCTCCTGTTTGATTCATTTTCATGTTTGCTAGAAATATGTAATGTGTACATTGTAATGACCCTGGGTAGGACTATGCTGTAACTGAGATAGGGAAAAGCAGAATGTGTGTGCAACCGCATGCGTCTGTGTGCGTGTGTGCGTAACGAGCCTCAGTCAATAAAACTAGCTAACAAAATTAAAGGTTTTATGGTATCTATGTAGAAGAAAAGGTTTATTTCTTTATTATTTCTTTCATCAGCAATAGCAACTTGAAGTAACTAGAGTGTAACAGTAACATTAAAAAGTGAGGAAAAACTTTAAATTAGCCTAGATATTTCTGTCTGCTTCTTTTTAGGCTATAAAATGGTGAAACAATTATTCGGACCTTGCCACAGGAAGATCCTAAAAGTTAGGAAATAATTATTTGATTGCATGAGACATGAACTGAATACAGGAAATTCTTTTTCCTAATCCTGTGAACAAAAGATCAGCAAACTTGAATATTGAAATTAGACTAGAAAATCAAGTAATCTAAAATAATCAAATGGATTTGGTTTTAAAATAAACTAAAATGTCTCTCAAAGTTATATTTAGAAAAAAAAAAAAAAAAAAGGGCAAGCGAGAGAACATAATGAAAAGGTGTGGCATGCGTGTTTCATCTTGCAATCTCATTCCATGTAATTTTAACTTTGCACAAACCAGTTCTCCTGAACCAGCTAAATTAAAACCCCCGAAAACTGTTTCAAGCTCTCTAGCTTTATTGCTGTGGTCTGTGGTTCAGTCAGTGGAATAGGTTAATGCCAACTGTAAACGTATTAATGTAGGGGCTCCAGTTACTATGCTTTGAATACTAGCAAAGTCTATGCTATACTTAAACAACTCCACAGTTATTCAACTCAACCTTCAAAAAACCCAAGAAATTGAAAAACTTCAGTCACTAATAGCTTCAAGAAAAGTTTACTAAAAACAGTTTTATTTTAGTAATAATACTGTATTTTCAGAACATCTACTAAAATAGCCAAAGATATTTATATTTACAAGATTATTCTGAAGCAATATACATTTGTGACCCTGCAGGCACACAGTTAAGACAGCAGCACACACGTAAATATGTACTTGATAGATTTCCTCACCCACCCAGCCACCCTACCTACCCTGTTCAAATTTCAGATCGTAGACTTTGATCAAAGAGATAAGGTTGTTTAAATAACACTGGACTAAACATGTTCCTAGTTAAAAAAAAAATAATAATAATAATCAGACGATCATACCCAGCAGTTCAGAAAGTCTTCGAAGAGTTATTCTGAAAATATGCCAGACAGTGTGAGAGAAAAAAATGAGAGAGTGTGCATGTTTGCATAGAGTGGACGAACATGCATCTGCAGACTCACAAAACAGCAAGCAAGCATAGCTCTCAGCAGCCAGTCTGCTGGGGAACACAGACTAAAGTGAATGGCAGTTACATGTTTAAGGTCAGTCACTCATAGATTTCATTGTGTGCTTCGGTAATACACAGAAAAAGCATTATCTCATATTAAACGGCATACTCTGAGAATTAATGTGAATCTTCCTGCCATAAGAAGTACCCACTTCTATAGTGTGCTACAAAATAGACTTTAAATTTTTACTTTAAGCATTATCCAACATGTATGCTATGTTAGAATTACTATACTGACATGCAATAAAATGCTCCAGCATAATAGCCATGCAGAAGATGGAAGATATAAGTGTGCACACAGAGAGTTGACTTCTGAGTGTGTCCCATGCGACCTCAGCATTCCTTGCATGCAATTTTTAAAAACCTCATTAACTATTTTGGGAGGGTTCGTTGTTTTCAGGGAGACAAATACTTAAAAATTTCACCATATGCAAACAGCATCAAAACACACTGTAGGTTCAAGTAAAAGCAGGATCACTTCTGCTCCATATCACTTAAACTAGAGACCTTATGAACAGCTTTCCACAAGACAGTGTGGAAAGTTACAGTCCTGCCCCCATAAAAGGAATCAGCAATAGAGAGCTGCAGTATCTCTGCAGCAGAAAACCTGGTACACATCTTGGAAGAAAAAAATGTGAGTGCCACCAACAAGATCTTAGGGGCTGGCTGGGAATCCCTGCGATAGCATCGGGTAATGTTTGGCTTACTTTTTCTGTGGAAGAAGAGAGAGAAAAAAAGGGCAAGGGTGTGGCAGGGGGTAGTCAAGCCAAATTCCATGAAGAGGTTGAATTTTTGATTTGCGTATACTGCAAAAAAATAAATGTTTGATTCTGCATACTGTATGTGGGATTTTTAGATAAAAAAAAAAAAAAAAAAAAAAACAAAACTATGAAATACAACAGATTATCAGAGGGGGGTATTTGTCTTGTCCTGCATGGTGATGTCTATCCTGCTTGCTCCAAATTAACACATGCTGCTAATTCACCCTGCTTTAGAGATGGCACTAGATGCGTCTGCTTGTGGGCTTACCCCCCAGAAAAATGACACTCAAGTTTCTAAAATCTGCTCTTTGTGCTTAAAGGCCAGGTCTTACTCCATCACCCAGTTTAATCACTCTGATCTATCAGATGTCAGGTTTTACATGTTATGAGCACAATGTGGAAATGTGTACAGGATATAGCAATAATATTTGGTACTTTTTACCAGTGGACATGAAATCAATGCAAAAATTCAGTTTCACTAAATCCCACTTCATGTATGCCTTTAAAAATATGCAGATCTCATACAGAAGGTCTTGCCTAATTCACTGTGCATTTTTAAAAAAATTATATTTATTAATGACAGAGTAAATAAAAATATGAATTGGCTACAGCATCTTCATTTCCAGTGCTAGTTAGAAGTGTTCAAAAAATACTTAGTTAATGGGAAGTCTAGCTTTTCAATTTGGTAATTTTTCCTCTAATGTGTATCCAACTGCAACCAAGTTGCCCTATCTATTTCTCACCTTAGTGAAGGCCTAATATTGTTCTGAAGTGACCAAGCACACACTACAGGAGAAAGTGGTCTATCCCAGTCTTCCTCAGACACCCATAAAAAACAGAGGGAAACAGGTTCTATGAAATCTGAAGATATGCTAGATTTGCTAGATGTGCTATCAGGTATAGACTGCTTTTTTTTGCTCTATTTCTGAAGTTTGGGAATATACAAATAAAATTAATGCTGGCTTTTATCCATCCAGATTTATACATACATTAGTATGTATATATCTGTTAAAATAGGGAAGAAATAGAAAGGAAAGAGAGAATAGCAATTAATGAAGACAGAAGAAACAGGCGGGGACAGCCCACTCTGACTGAGCACTACAGACATGTTGGCAAGGAAGGTCAAAGCAGAAATTGCTTCTTCATACACAGTGATTTTCAGTGAGACTGAGTCAAGAAATGAGTTTCTGAAACAGAGAGGATTCAGACACTACCCTGTTCACAGAAATTAGAAATTAATTGATTAAATGAATGTGAGTGAGAAAATCCTGTCTTTCCCTTTTTAAAATGTCAACTTTTCTATTTTCCTTTTCTAGATATGCCAGAGTTCCTGTCCCCAACTCAGATTTTCCAGAGTGAGGAATTTACTCTGAATTACACTAATATAATACCAAGAGTAGTAACAGTAAAACTAAACCACATTTCTGTGGCTCTGTGGTTAAATTATCATCCTTTACAGCTGAAGAATATTTCAATATGTTTCTAAAGGCAAACTCTGCTCATTTCTATTTATTGATGAACAGTTTGCTTCTAGTTTGGTTTTGGTTTTGGTTTTTGGTTTTGTTTTGTTGACAAATGATCAGAATGATCAGATTAAGCTAGCAGAGTCATGCATAGTGCAGTTTGGCTCAACTGGACAAACAGGAGGGTACTGAGGGTACTTGAGGGTACTCAAATTCAGGATTCTTACTGTAACAGACAACATGAACATATTGTCACTTCAAAACTAGAACATAACTTTAAAAAAAAAGAAGTGAGAAGTAGCCTCCTGCCAGTAACTGCTAATAATGTAGCATCAGCAAAATGGACTCAGAAACAGGGTATATAACAAATATTATAGAAACTATTACTCTAACTTATCTAAATAACCAGAAGAAGGTTTGATGATTTCCAGTATCATCAGGAATTTTCTATTAACGAAAAGTCCTGAAAGCTAGACAGGGAATGGTAAAAAAATAAGTTCAGTCTATAGGGAGGGAAAAAAAAAAAAAAAAAAAAAAAAAAAAAAAAAAAAAAAAGAGAAAGGAACAGCCTGAACAGATTCTTGATTCTGGAGAAGATAAAACAGCAGCTTCAGGGAAAAGAATATGAAAGTAAAAACACCACACAAAGTCTATTCAAATTATAGGAATCTTTAAAGACAGCAAAACTCCTAATTCTATAATGGGCATTTTTCAGCACCAATTTTAGTAAGTATTCCAACAAAAAATAGTAAACTCAGAACTTAGAACATATACTATAAATTTTCCATAAACCTGCTGACAGTGAGAGACCATAAACTTCATCGCTTTGGTTCCACAGCTATAAAGATAGAAGGTTTTTTTTAGCTGCTGCAATTAAAGAAGAATCTATTGCACATAACAGGAGGAACATTATGTTTTTCCAAGATTCCACTGTAACATTACAGAGAAGTTATGTTGTGTTTAGTCCAGTGAGGAAACTCCTCAAGATAGACAGCTG